GTAAGTGCCAGAGTCGAGATAGCGTTATACACTTTAGGGTAGGTGTTTAGGGTTATTTAGTGGGTTAGATCTTGTTGGGATAAGAAATGAAACAATAAAATTGGTAATTGGGCCAAAAATTAAAAAATTAAAAATGAAACAAATTATTGGGCCAAAAATTTGGATTTAGAAATTGTTAAGGGATAATTAGGCCAAATACGGCCCATTAATTGGAAAATTGACTACTGCCCTCTCACTTTTAAATTTGTCATTAATTGTATAATTTACGTTCTTAGAAGAAAAGAGAATGCTATTCAACTCCAACCAAAGCCTAAACCAATGATTTCTCTCTGCTCATTTCCTGCGATTCTCATGATTTTGTGTTATATATTTATGGTATAAATATAAAATGTGAAAGAAATAATCAAATTAGATAAAGTGCCAAAGTGGTGGGAAATGTGACATTTGTGTGGGACGTCAGGGGTTCGAATCACTCCCCACGCAAATATTAAAATGTCTTGATTTGGGCCTTGGGGCCTTGGGCTCTTGGGCTTCCTTGACTAAAATAAATATTTTTTTTTGGTTATTTAATTGGTAAAACTAGCCAGTATTTTATGACTGTTGGTTTTGTAACAACCCACTAACTGCCATTAAAACACCCACTACTCAGTCATTAAAATTCTGCATATACAAAATGTGAGGTTCTCGACTGTTGCTAATCAACTGCACCTTAGGATTCGAGGACTACGACAACAGAGTGAGACGGAGAGGCTTCAGCGAGGAGAGATAGATGGGTGGTAGACAACTTCTATCTAGCTAGTTATATACTAATGAAGAATATCTGATTCAATATATATTATCTTGTATATTGTAAATCTGATATCCACACTTGGAGTTAACAATTTTGTATCAACTGTGTCGGTGTTTGTACTTGAAGACAATCTCCATCTCTTGAATGCTACCATTTTTTAGAGTTCTGTACTCAACTTGTAGCGTGTTCATTTTAAAATTCTGGTTGTCGAACAACATGCTATTATGGGTCAGACAAATGTTGATGGCAAATTTATTGTCATAGAAAAATGATTACAAATATCTATTAGCCTTTACCCAACCTATATATTCGTTATAAATACCGTATTATGATTTTGTCCGTCATAGCCCCCTTATCCCTTAATTTGGAGCCCTGCTATTATAGTGGGAAATGGCACAATCAGGAGTGGGAATTTTCTTAGTCTTCTAGGTAACCTAGTCTATCTCAATTTGAAGGATGGGGATATAGTCTACATTAAAAAAGTTGTAACGTGAGCTAGTGACTGGTGGAAAATTATATGAAATGTTAGGCGAACAAAATGGATGACGCTATTTTGGTGTTTGTCACTCTTTGGAGCTCCTGTCACTTTTTTTTTTTAGTTTGTCACTTTTTTTAAGTTCGTATCACCTCTTTTTTTTTTTTTTTTTTTTTTTTTTTTTTTTTTTTTTTTTAGATTGTGTTAAAAAAAGTGACATTCTGTCACTTTTACATTTAAACTAAAGTGAAATCTTTTTATAATTAGTTGCCATGTCTGCTGTAGAGATATCTGTTCCTAAGTATTCTGAAAAACCTGAGTTGTTTGATGGAAAGAATTTCAAGAGATGGCAAATGAAACTGCGATTTTATTTGACAACACTTAAAGTCGTTAATGCTATTGAATCAGATAAACCCAGTTTTGTAATTGCTGATAATCCCACTGATAAGGAAACAGAGGATTTAGCTAATTGGGAACATAAGGATTATATGTGCAGGAATTATATTCTGAATTGTTTGACTTTAGATCTGTATGATGTTTACTACTCGTGTAAATCTGCAAAAGAGTTATGGAATTATAAATAATAGTTTTTTTTTTCTTTTTTTTAATTTGTTTTTCCTTTTTTTTTTTTTTTTTTTTTTTTTTTAGATTGTGTTAAAAAAAGTGACATTCTGTCACTTTTACATTTACACAATATTTTTTCTTTCAAAAAACTTTTTTTTGAGTTTCTCACCTTTTAAATTTTTGTCACTTTTTTATCTTCTTAAAAATGTGACATGATATGTGACATTTTCCTAAGATAATCAGCACGTGTATTGTCCTAGACATTCTAATTATGTTAAGAATCGTCACTATGCTCACGTGGATTGTCCTGGACACGCTGATTATGTCTAGAACATGATTACTGGTGTTACCCAAATGAATGATGTTATTTTAATGTTTGTCATTTTTTTGAGTTTGTATCACCTTTATTTATTTATTTATTTATTTCAAATTTTGTCACTTTTGGAGTGTTTGTGTCACTTTTTTGAGTTTATGTCACTTTTTTGAATTGTGTTCAAAAAGTGACAATTTTTATTAAAAAAGTGACATTGTGTCACTTTTTAATTTCACACAGTATTTTTTACTTTCAAACAATTTTTCATATGATTTTTCAAAACACTCATAATTTTAAGGGTAATTTTGTAAGTTGTCCAATTGTTAATTTGTTTAGAAAAAATTAAAATTAAAATAATTTGGTTTATTCAATATAAAACAAATTATAAAGATTCAATTTTTCGGTTCTTGGTTTAGAACCGAAAACTGAATCGTACCGGTCGGTTCTTAATTTAGATATCCGTTCGAGTATTTAATTTGACAAGAACCGTCAGGTTCGGTTCGATTTGGTTCGGTTCAGTTCGATTGGTTCGATTCGGTTCGGTTTGGGAGATTTGTCCAACCCCATTAGTGAACAAACAAAACATTAATGTAGGAAGGATTTTTATTATTATTATTAAAAATTAAAGTTGGACTGTTGGACGCTTGACTAATTTGGCAATATATTTTAAACGAGTTCTAAAGTTCAATAAGATAAATGAAACGATTCAAATATAGCTCAATGATGACTGTAATAATCAACCTCTAAATATACCGAGAGTTAAATATATACTTTTAGAGCGACTTTTGTGTGAATGTTAAAATAAGTTATTCTCATCGTTAACTAATAAAAGAGTTACTTATTACTTATAGATGAAACTTTAAGCTCAGCCAAACATTGTGTCTATGCCATTGTAAAAGGTCACATTCGTCTTATTAATCAAAATTTATGCAAGATTCAATATTAAACTACTCAACGCATAGATAGCAAATTGTAGACTCTGCAAAATATATAAATAGATGTTACTAAAATAAAAATCGCCAAAATGCTTTTGAAATTGTTTAAATTATAAATTTAGTTAGTCAACTCTTTGTCCTCATATTTCATAGGACTAACAATTATTATCCACTTATCAACCACTTACTTCTATCAATTTGTACTTTAAACTTCTTAAAAACAATACCAAAGAATCGCTTAGATTAAAAATAAATTGAACTCTAAGGTCTTATTTGATTGCACAAATTTTTCATGGAAGTAATTCCACAATTTTGCATGTTTGATTGGTCAAATTTTCTTGCCAATTGGCACGTGACCCCTTTTTTCCACTTTTTTTTTTTTTTTTTTTTTGTTGGGGATTTGGTTTTCTCTTGTGCTACAAAATATACATCATACATGGAATTTTGTTTTCCCTTTTTGTGTTGGGGGGTTTTTTTTTTTTTTTTTTTTTTTTTTTTTTTTAAGCCAATGGAACACTAAAAGATCCAAAATTTCAATATTTTTCAGGTGAAAAATTATACCTATCAAACACATTTAATTGACAATTCCCAAAATTATAGACAATTCAATTTCCTGAAATTCGTTATCTTTTCACCAAAATTATATTCTTACAATTAAACGGACGTTAAGGGTGTGCTTGATTACATTTATTTTCCATGAAAAATATCAATTTTCCACCCAAATTCATACTTGAAGTGTTTGATTGCTAATTTTTTCCATAGAAAACATTTTTTAACTTTTGAAAATATGTCTGATTTTCTTTGTTTTTAAGGAAAACATTTTCTTTGGGTAGAGGTGATTTTTACTTTCCACAAAAGAAGGAAAATATTTTCTTTTGTAGGTGATATTTTCCATGCCAATCAAACAAACTCTAAGGGTGTGTTTGATTACATTTATTTTCCATGGAAAATATCAGTTTTCCATCCAAATTTTCACTTGGAGTGTTTGATTGCTATTTTTTTCCATGGAAAACATTTTCCAACTTTTGAAAATATGCCTAATTTTCCTTGTTTTTAAGGAAAATATTTTCCTTGGGTAGAGGTGGTTTTTATTTTCCACAAAAGATGGAAAATATTTTCTTTTCTAGGTAATATTTTCCATGTCAATCAAACACACTCTAAGGGTCCGTTTGATTGTAATGATGGAATTGAATTAAATTGAAAACGAATTCTAAGGAATCGAATTGCCTAAAAATTATTTTTCTGAAAATTGTAAATTATTGTGTTTGATTGATATAATTTTTCACATGAAAAATATTAAAATAAAAGTATTTTTTTGTGTTCGTTTGACTTTGTTTTATATGAAAATTATCAATTAAAGGGATATATTTTACTGGTATTGGAAATGAAATTTGTTTTCATTGCCAACAAAAAAATAAAAAAAAAATAAAAAAAATCATCTCTTTTATTATTCGTTTGACTTTATTTTACATGGATTGCCAATTGAAATAAAATATTTTTGTACAATGTTTCTTCAAATTTGTTTCCGTTACCCACAAGGAAAAAAAAAACCAACGTAACAGGGAACTAGAAAACCAATTAGAAAATTTCAAGTTCCAAGAAAATCAAGAAACCAAATTCCATGGAATTCAAAACTTATCAAACAAACAAAATTGGAAGAAAGTGAAATTAGAATTCCATTTTCCATGGAATTTAAACCAATCAAACATGGCCTAAGTTCAATTCACAATTGAAAAGTTTGTTCAATTAATTCGTGAAATAAGTTGGAACATTTTTATATTTGTCTAATCTATCAATCCGCCCCACCCCGCCCCTTTTTTAACACAATGTCTTATCAAGATCTTGATACTAGTATGCTCAAAAGCTTGACTTGATCAATGATCATACATGAAACTTTTATAAAACGGGCATGAGGAGTGTAAAGATTTTGAACTTCTTTTTCATCTTTGAATGTTTCTATATCGCAATCAAGCGAGAACACGCAACCTTCAATTCTCAAACGTACACTGGAAGGCCATGGAAAGTTGCACATTACACTTCATTTACACAGGAACGAGATCACACAAGATTTTATTCATACGGGGTCTTATTTTTTTTCATATTGTTAACATGTTCGATGTTCATAGGCGCAGAAAAGAAACACACTTAGTACATATAAACCACACGACACTAATTCTTCACACGTGCACGTTCCCTGGTCGACTGGAGTGCAGGTGGAGAGTTTGGCTGGGAACGACTTGAAGAACTCCGGGCAGTTCTGCCACAATATTAACTAATCAATTTCTGGATAATAGTAAATATATGGGATATAAACATAATTAAAATAGATATTCAAGAAACTAACGCGAAGAAGGTTCATAGCCACAAAAAATTTGAACTCAAAAGGTGTATGTTTTGACGTTAATGTAAGAGTTACATCCAAACATGTTCCAATTAAAGAATACCATAACACAACTTAACCACATGTTCAATGTTCATCAAGATTCAAGAGGAAATGGATCTTGATAAATTCTACAGAAATTCTTTGACTTCGACTAACAATGACATAAAATTTAAGAGAGAATTTCTTAATCTTCAAACCATTTGCTTTAAACCCTATTTAGTTGCTAGCTGCAACCGCAAGAACAAAATAGATTTTGAATGTACTTTTGTAGGACTCGAACTCAGATAAGAATCATAAAACTTTTATAATTGCCTCCCCACAAATTTAAAATCCTACAACAAAGAATAAGCACTGGACGGGAGTCGTTCGACTCAAGCATCTGTGCTATATACCAATAGGCTTATCAAGATTTTATGCATTCAAAAACATATTTTTATGATATATTTAGACTACACGGATCAATGACTTATGAACACCATCAAATGTAAGATATTAATGTCCCTTCGTATCAATTAAGGGACTGATGTAGAGACTCCAACTTTCTAAGGCAAAATGCATTTTAGTCACATCTCCCTCTTTATCTAGAGAACATTAGTATCACAATTTTAATCCACACAGAAGCAACATTCAGTAGCTCCATAGAACCTTGATAAAACTGGTTTTTCGGCAGTAGTATTGGTGACTAAAATCAACTGTTTCGAGTCAAAATCTTTTTCTCGGACGCCTCAAACTGAGGCAGTGTTGAAATGCATGCATGCTGGGAGAACACCCTCAGTACACAAACTGTCCAACTATGAGCATATTTTGGCTATGATTCGAAAGTTAACTTATAAGTATATAAGTTTTAAACACAAGGCTACTATTTCTCCAGTTCCAGGGAGAATGAGAAAACTTACTTGAGAGCTGAGACACCTGTTCAGGAGTCAGCTTAGCAGAGAACCCACTTGCAGCATGCTTGTAACTGTATATCAGAGCCTCTTTCGCAGAATCCTCACTTTTATCGAACCCATCACAATTCAAAGAAATCCATCAATACCCAAAGTACAAATTCTCACTATAGGTCGAAAATTTTGGTCTAAAAATTCGAGGGAAAAAAAGGTTAAAGAATTTTAACACCAATCACAAGACAGTTGAATATCACTGTTATTTGATGGGATAATGAAAACCAAGTTCGCGTTAGAGTTATTCCATAAATTATAATCCTGTTCATGATAGAACCAGTCTACAAATTTAAAGCCATTTCACAAAAGAATCATTCAATAAATTTAAACCAAGTTCGTGATAGGATCATCTATATATTTAATCCCAGCTCATGATAAGAACATTTTATATAATTAAAACCCTGTTCGTGATAGGATCACTACAGAAATGTAAAACCAGATCTTGATAGAATCACTCAATAAATTTAAACCCAGTTCGTGATAGAATCATTCTACAAATTTAAATCAGTTCGTGATAGGCTCAGTTTATTAATTTAACCCAGATCTTTGTAGGATCATTTTATAAATTAAAACCGAGTTCGGGATAAGATCATTCTACAATATAAAACCAAATCAGTGACAGGATCAGTCTATAAATTTAAACCCAGTAACTCATAAGATCATTCTATGAATTTAAACCCAGCTCGTAATAGAATCACTCCATAAATTTAAACGCAAGTAGTAATTATTTCAACCTCCGCCTCCCCCACCCCCAAAAAAAAATAAATAAATAAGGGGAAAAAAATCAAACCTGCCAAGAATAGAGGAAAGGGTCTTGATATGATAGGCTTCAGGCTCTTGTCCTTCGGGCCTCTCAGTGTAAACTATGTGAACTTTAGCTTCAGATGATGATGAATCGGCAGCCATTGCTATTCTTGAGGTCAAGAACAAAAGGAAAATTGTTGAGAGAAAAAAGTGGATTTTCTGCATAACTTTCTTCGTATTGGGATTTGAAGGGACTTCGGTTTGATTAATGGGATATGCAAAATTGTGCTTATCCTTGGATTTTACGCCTTAGCCACGAAGTATTGGACAATTTCAGCGTTGAGTTGATCGAAATTTTTATTTTATTTTATTTTTTAATATTCTTTTCCTTGTGTAACCTTCATGGACTGGCTCCTACTGTTATATTTTCTTCTATGTTCTCCAATTACTACCAGAGTCGCATTCCATAGCATTAAATGAAAATGAAAAATAACTAATAATCCTAACTAAAGATATTAATGTTATAATCACCTTTTTAACCACACAATCTTCTATAAAATAATATTATATGTGAATAAATTTTTTTTATTCTTTTTTAACCATATATTCCTTAAAAAAAAGTATTTCAAACATTAAAATTTGAAAAAAAAAAAACCCCCAAATGGGGGCTATGTTTGGCCCCTCTTTTTTTTTTTTTTTAAAAAAAAAAACTCATTTTTTTAAAATTCATTTTGAACTATATATTTTTTCATGAAATAATTTTATGCGTAAACGCAAAATATATGTATGTTTTTTTAATTTTCTAACCACACATTCTCAAATACAATATTATTTCAAATTGTATTTTGGCCCAGAAATTGACGCTGAAACAAGGGCTAAATTTGAAAAGTAATAATATTTCCCCTTTTCTGAAATTAAAAGGCTCACTCTCAAAGCTCTTTGGTTGGATCTGAATATGTCTCCAATGGTTACTTGTTTGATCTCCATTATTTTTAAAATATATTTTTCTCTCGCTTCATTAAACCACACAATTTTTATAAAATAATATTACACGCAAATTCAAAATTTTTCTTTATTTTTTAACTACAAATTTCCATCGAATCACTATTTCAAAATGAATTTTTGGCAAAAAAAAAAAAAAAAACATGGGGCTCAAGTATGTTTGATTCTGAAATTAATTAAGAGTTTCTAAATATTGGGGCATTTTAAATATCTATTTACAACTAAAACATTAATTAACTAACAAGTTAAAATTTTAAACTTAAAATTTTCCTCTTTTCTATTAAATAATTGACTAAATTGTTGACCAATATGCTCATATTTGACAATCATTATTTAATTTTATTTTTTTCTTGCATACTAATTTTTCACCATATATTTATAAAATAAAATATTCTGTACGTGAACATAAAACTTTTCCTTCTTTTAATCACATTTTTCTAAAAATCATTACTTAAAACATTAATTTTTTTTAAATAATGACTATCAATTAGGGGCACAATAGTATATTAATGCTCACTCGAGGAAATATTATCAAAGCAATGAAATATGTATGACTACAAAAACATTTGTTACTTTTTACATAGGTGGCTCTCATCTCCAAACCCCACCATTACCAATACTACATTTGGCTATCTAGTCGAGTAATAGATACTTCACATCGTACCAAATAAAATGTGCGAACCAACACACCAAAAATTTAAGGCTCCAACATATTTAGTAATCTCAAAAAAATATATTTTGATCAATTCTCGTTTGTTTGGTTGGTCTATAATTTTTTTTTTTTAATCTAAGCCGTAGTTTGCTCCTAATTAAAATTATAATTCATTTTCTCATTTTTCTTATCAATCACATATTTTTCAATAAAATAATATTATATGTAAACTCAAAACTTTTTTTTTAAAACTATATAATCTTCAAAAAATACTATTCCAAAAATTAAAATGACAAATAATGAGAACCAAACGAGGGCTAAATTTCAGGTTCAAGAATTAGTACTATATATATAGGAATGATCTCATAAGCATCTGTGCTTAGCTTATGTTAAGCACCGATGACATAGTATATCATTCAATTAGTAAACCATTAAATATATGTGACTTACCATTAACTTATTCACCGATTAATTAACTTGTCATGTCACTGGTACTTAACATACGTTAAGTACTGGTGTTTAGAAGATATATATATATGGATCATGCTAAATGTACACATAAATTTGTACAAAAAATTTTACTGATATTCACAATAGGGGTGGGGACCACAAGCTAACATTTTTTAAATTTATGTAGGGTCCGCTTCTTTTATGAGGGTGAGTAAGTCATTTTGTAACAATGTGTTTGTACATATATACTTATCCTATATAAAATATTCGTGGGCTCCCCTCCATGTGAGGGAGGGTGTAAAGTCGTGTGTACAACACGAGGTATACACACGACATTTTCCATATATATATATATATATATATATATATATATATATAT